TTCAACTCTCACTCCCAAAAACTTCTTATGGCCAATCTAGTTGGTTCCTATCTTTCAATTCTTATTAATGGATCACCTGCTGCCTTTTTTCAAATGAAGAGAGGGGTGAAACAAGGGGACCCTCTTTCACCCCTTCTATTTCTAATTAGCAGTGAGTGCTTTTCAAGGATGATCAAATTTCATATGAATACCTCCTCTCTGGGCAGTTTCAACACAGGTAATCATCCTTGATCAGTCATTTGGGCTTTGCAGATGATCTAGTGATCTTTCTCAATGGGGACACTAGGAACTTAAAAAAGTTCAGAAGGATTCTAGAGGACTATCAGCAAGGGTCTGGGCAGCAAGTTAATCTCAACAAGAGTAGCTTTTACACAGGAAAAAAGGTAAACCAAACTAAATTAGGGTCTATGGCCAGAAGCCTAGGTATGGATCATGGGGACCTACCATTCACATATCTTGGTGCTACAATGGTCAAAGGCAAGCTTAGAAAACATCATTGCTCCAAACTGCTCAACCACTTTGACAAATACCTAAACTCATGGTATAGCACCACTCTTAATCCTATGGGGAGACTTGTGTTGATCAAACATGTGTTATCATCCATACCTCTTCATATCACTGCTGTTCATATTATCCCTCAATCTATCATTCAGGCTTACAACATATGCAGACCTTATAATCCTACTCAACTCAACTACTCTTACTGCTGGAATAAGGCACAAATCCCAAAGGTAAATCTCTTCCTTTGGAGAGCTCTAAACTCTTATCTACCTTTACCAGATAATCTAAGAATAATGGGGTTTCAACTAGCCTCTGCCTGCCCCATCTGCAAGAACAGTGAAGAAACCATTGACCATGTTTTCCTCCAATGCCCTTGGAGCATGAAACTATGGAAATTCTTTGCAGAGGCAGTTGAAGGACCAAGACCTAGAAATTACCTAACCCTAAACCAACATATCATGGAATGGAACTTATCCCACAGAAGAAAATCGCTTAAAGGACAACTTCGTAGCATTCTACCAGGGATCATTGTTTGGCAACTTTAGAAGGAATACAACAGAATCATCCATGACAACAATCCAATTAACATCAACAAGGTGAAATCAGACATCTTACAAACCCTCAGAGATTGGAGCTGGAAAAATAGAAGGAAAAAATGGATGATCAGAGATGAACAACTTGTAGACCTGGGTTTCAATCTTTTTTTCTTGTCTGGGATGGAATTGAAAAATAGAACTAATCTGCTTCAGATTGAGACGGTAAGGACTGGAGTTAGTTAGTGTAGGAGAGGGGAGGGCTAACCTACTCCATGTTGCGAAGCGGGGAGCTTTAGCCGGCAGTGCCCTATAACGGTGCTAGAGGATAGGTCACGAGGATGGTCCAGTTTCAGGTCTGGGCACATTTGGCTCATTTGACTTCTTTCTTGCATTTTCTATTTTGTTTTTTTACTTTCGGGGCTTCGGTCTAGTCCTCCCCGAACGTGTACTTTTTGTTTACCTTCGGGGCTTTGGTCTAATCCTCCCTGAACATGTACTTTAATTGTTTTTGTTAATAATAATTGGTAATGGTTGCCTGGACCTTACCCTACTGATTTTGGTGGATTTTCGGGCTAAAAATAAATAAATAAATAAATTAATATATATATATATATATATATATATAATATATATATATATAAAATGGATCCAGTTTTAGAGAGAGGTCAGAGCTCAGCGCCGCCTGGTTTCCGATCAATACCTCAGTCGCCGGAGATTTTTCCTCCTTTAACAGTCTCAACCTCGCCGGCAATAAGCTCTTTGTCATTCCCAAATCACCAGACTCAAACATATCTTCGAAATTTGAAGGATAGCCGATCTGCCCCTCCACTCTTTGGTGTCAAATCCTATGTCGAAACCCTTAAAGGCTACTCGGCAGGGGCTTACAATCCACCGTCTCCCTCCACGCAGCTTCTGCCATCTACCCAGAAGACGGTCACACAAGAGACTCACGACTCGAAGGCGCCACCAGAAAAGGATGGTAATTCCCTTCCACCCCCTCATGTGAAGAATATCATACCAATGGTCTTTAAAATTTTTGAGAAGGAATTTACACTATCCACTTCGGTGTATAATAAAAAGATCTGTATTTCTGAGCTTTTCAAGAAAAAGAAGCACTGTATATGGCTAGGTTTGGATGCTGGGTACTGGCTTCTTAATACACTATACAAATTTACCACGGACGGATCCATACCTTGTCTTGTCAAGACAGAACACAACCGCTCACTCTTCATTCGATTTAGAGCCAGCCCCAAAGGATCTTCTCTTCAACTTACAGAAAGGAGACAAGACGGGCGGAGTATGATTTTCATCCCAGAAGGCCAACAAGGTTATGGTTTTACATCCTTCAACTCCAGATTGGAGCTAGTACTTAAACACCTCTCTAGGGCTACCCCCCCTCCTGCACCCTTCATTGATAGGGCCTTCATTTGTGCTTTTTCAACCCCAACTCCCACTGATACCTCTATGTACATTTCCTCCACTTTATTCAAGTTGGAAGTTTGCCCCCAAGAGGAAAAAACCATACCCCCCTTCTCCAGACTCCCCCTCGCAAGGCCTTCCCTTCTTTCTGCTAAAGCCAAAGAATTTGTTCCTATAACACACTTCACCTCGCCACCAGCTCCCATCTTATGTCCAGCAGCTCCAATAGCCTCAAGACTCACTTTTTTGGGATGTTCATCTTCTGACACTGAAAGAGATAACACTTGGGACATCTCTAAAGCCTATGAATCTGATCAGGAGCAACAATATTGTTCAGGGAAAGGCCCTTTTCCAATAGATGATGCCTCAGAATGGGAAACTGATAGAGAATCAGATGAAGAGGATAGTAAAAGGGGTTTGCATGCAAAGAAAAAGTCTATCAAAAAAAGAAACCAAGAAAGATTTGAAAAACTTATAAGCCACATTCAAGGAGGGGTTGTTAGCAAACCTAGAAGGAGCAGGAGACTTGCTAAGCTCAGGAACGAACTCATTGATGAAAGGAACCTAGAGTCTTTGAACTTGGGGTAAGCCTAAGCCCGAAAATCTGGTTTTAATTTAGGACTCTAGAGTTAATATTGGTGATTTATTCTGGGATGCAATCTTTAAGCTCCTATCTGGGTTTGGTTTATAAGTTCAAATCTTTATGGGTGTATCCGGCTGGAATTAGTTTCGATTTGGTCAGTAAATTCTGGTAATTCTATTGCATAGTTGTGTTTAGCACTTCCAGGCATGGCATAGATTCAACTCTCCAAGCAGCTACAATGGGTGGGAGATTGCTCAAAGCTTGGGAGTGGAGCTGGTTGCACCTAGGACAGTTTTGTCTGCTCCCTTTGGAATATTTAGTATTTTGGGATTCTAATTTCATGACCAAATACACCTGCTTGGAGAATTATTCCAATGGATCGAGGAGACAGACCTACACCATCAAGCCCGGCATGTAGCTGTTTCACTTTTTATATGTCTGTTGTTTTCCCTTTGTATTCCAAATAGGTGGACTTTTGTCTAGAATCCCTAGACAGAAACTAGGCATCCCAATTAGACTTGGTAAGGTTTGGCTATCCTGTATGGGGTACGGGCAACCCCCACTCTCTTTTGTACTCTCTTTTTAATTTAATAAACATTTGTCTCTCTCTCTCTCTCTCTATATATATATATATATAGGGATTGACTCCAGTTAGATGACAAGTTGCGGTAAGATGACACTTTCGGTCAGATGACAGCGTATGGTTCATTCTGGATCAACGTAGTGCTCATTCTAACTCAACGTAGGGTTCATTCTCACACAACTGTTCATCGCAACGTACTGCTTATTTCAGAAAAACATAGTGTTCATTCCAAGTGAGGCAATTGACAACATAGGGTTCATTTAGAATAACATGATGTTCATTCTCAAACAACGTAGGATTCATTCTCACACATTTGCTCATTATAGACTTAGTACTCATTCTAAAATAACATAGTACTCATTCCCAGTTTGCTCAGCAAAGTGTTCATTCTGAAACAATATAGTGCTCATTCGCAAACAAGGTAGTGCTCATTCTGAAGCATGTCATCTGACCGAAACATGTCATCTGACTGGAGTCAAACCCATATACATACATATATATATATATATATATATATATATATATATATATATATATATATATATATCACAAATGCTCCTTCTAGACATTGGCAATATTATCACAATTCGTACAATAGATCTGGCTTCATTGGCCAAATCAGCACCCAAAGAACACTTCACAAACACAGTTCTTCGAAGCTTCAAAATCGAGACTTTAGATGGCCTTTCAAATCCCCTGAGGTATACGGCCTGAAAAACTCACATGTGCTTTCAGAACAGAGAATCATCTTACAGGGTCAGAAATCCTCTCCATGGCCTAGCAAGAACATCAGCTTCAAATTCAGAATTCTTCATAAGGTATTTGAGCTTTTTTACTCAGTCTACAATAAGATCTTCAGTATTACTATAAAGGGAGAAGAAACATACAATTATGGTTAGATTCTGATTCACTCGCCTGGGTCATGGAATCTCTTCCTAGAATCATTTCCGGTTCTTCTTGGGACTGTGTTAAATTGGATGCTAAGAGAACACTTGAAATTTTTAAAGACTCTAATCATAGGGGGGGATTATATACGCATTTTAGAAGGTAGAAAGGAAGGTAGTAGATTCCTTCATATCCCCTTTGGAGTTCATGATGATGGGCCAACTCAGTTCCTTAAGGCTATTAGGTGCTTTTTTGAGAGAGTTCGATGTTTGGACAAGGATAAGGGGTTTGGGGAGTTTGGGGAAGCAATAGGTGTTTCAGGGGGTAGGGAATTTCAGGTTGCTAGCTTGGCTGGTCCAGTGCACTCTTGTTGGGAAAAATATTATATATTTTGATGATGATGTATTTAGAATGTAATAGGGACTTTAGGTCTCTCCCAATATTCAATGTAATTTTTCTTTTTAGAAAAATTGTTAAAACCGAGTTCTTGAGATTTCCAATAAAGTTGTGATATTTCTTTAAGCGGTTTAATGCCTGAAGACTTAATCAAATTCAGTGATTTGGAAATTGGATATCTTGATCGGAAATGTCAGAGACAAGTAAGGATTTCTCAAAGCGCATGAAAATCCTCAAATCCGGAAGACTACATGAAAAACGGATGTCTCGCTACAACCCGCTGAAGGCTAAGTCGGAAGACTAGCGCGGATCTCTTTCTCACCCGGAAAACAGAGTATGACTCTTCCGGATTTGTCAGCCAAGAACCGGATGCCTCAAGAAAGACCGAAATTCTCAAAAAGCGGACAAGTGAGAAAAGACTTAGAAAATTATCTAAGTCTTGAATGGAGAAATTCTACCCGTTGGTAAGGAAAAATCAATCTCTTGATTTTCAACGGCTAGATTGAAGATAATTATGCTGATTCAAGAACAAATGACTCAAAAACAAAGTCTGGACTTCTCAAACTGAAGAACCTGTCTAGAATTCCTAAACAAGCACTAGAAGACAAACAGAGTAAAGTGCTGCAGTTCAGAATTCTTGAACAACAGCTAGAAGACGGAGTCTGTGGATATAGGAGTCCCTCCTCCAACAATTGGGTATGTCCAAACACCCACTTCAACGAAGAATCTTCAAAACACAATCTTCATTCAAAATTGAAGCCAGCAAATGCAACGGATAGTCTATTATGATTCAACGGATAGATTATCCAATCCAGCTATAAATAGCATCCTTGGAAGACTGGAGAAGACACGATGAGGTAGAACAACACAACAAAGCAATCTCTAACAACAAAGCTATCTCATTCACAGTTAGCCCAAAGAGCTTGATAAAAAGAGATTTCTAAACTCCTTATCCAGAAGCAAACTTCTCCTCCTTCCAAAGAGCTATAGTGTAAACACTTGAAGGTTTCCTTGCCTCAAGTACCACACCACGTTGAAGGATACAACTTTTGATCAAACTTATTGATTGAAAGGGGGTAGGTCAACTTTCTTACAAGTTGATCTTGCAAGTCCTATTGTTCGGACCTTTTAGTTGTTGAAGAAGCGTAACCTTCGAAGGAACAACAAAGCCAGCATGAGTGCAGTAGCAACATTGGCCTTGCGAAGATATACCGTGCAGAAATTCAACAACCAACTACATAGTGGATTTTGAGGACGTAGAAGGATTACCCCACCTTCGAACCTCGTTAAAGTTTGCGTGTCTCTCTCTTTTATCTTTACCCTTACTTGCAATTATATTAGCTGTGAAAACTAACCCATCCATATTGATTACTGCTCACTCTACCCACCAAATTCCACACACAATCTAAAGTTCACAAGAACTCTAGATTAACACTCATTTTCACGTTTTTCAAAAGAAACGAAAAAGTTTTTAATTTGTAACAAAGTCTATTCTCCCCCCCTCTAGACTTTGTATCTCACCACCTTGGGACCACCAATTGGTATCAGAGCTAGCTTCTCACTATCTACGTTTAGATTAACGAGAAGTGATCATAATGGTGAACAATATGGATCACGGTTTGCCCAAGTTTTCTCTTCTAGGTTATGATGATTGGAAGATCATGATGGAAGCACATCTATACGCTCTACATGACTGCATGTGGATGGTGCTTGAGGATGGACCCTTGAAAATCCAAATGGAGAATCCAGAGAGGAATCCAGCAACTCCAGATGTAGTCGAGTACATTCCAAAGCCCAAAGAAAAATGGGATGATAGAGATTGCAAAAAGCACAATCTGGACAACATCGCCAAAGCAGCCATCTTCAAGACATTTGATCCCATCACCTTCTCCAAAATCAAGCATCTCAAGACTGCCATGGAGATATGGCAAGGTATTGGGAAGCTATGTGAGGGATCAGAGGACTTGAGAAAGCAGAAGATAGAGGTCCTGCTTGAGAAGTTCAAAAGCTTCAAAATGCTTCCCGGAGAATCATTTGATATGTTGGATGAAAGATTCCACAAAATCTTGAATGATCTTGCATCACTTAACCACGTTCTTTCTCCCAAGGAAAAGAATATAACGTTACTGAGATCACTTCCAACCGAGTGGTACACCAAAGCCACTGCCACGGAAGAAGGAAGAAACCTGGAAAACTACACTGTCCAAGGTCTCCTTGATGAGCTCAGAACCTATGAGCACGAGCTGAAGAAGAAGAAGGAAGAACAAGTCACTCCCTTCCCCACGGCACTGATGACAACTCCAAGAGTCCCATCAAGTGAAGGGACATGCCCAAGGAACTGTGACACACCCTCCTCCAGCCAGCCGTCAAGCTAAAAAATGGAGAACTGCGATGAGGAATTTGCCATGATGGTTAAGCAATTCCAGAAAGTCAAGAAGTTCTTCAAGAAGGCTGACTCAGTCAGAAGGCCATCCAAGGGAAAGCCACAGGTAAGTGACTCCCTTCCTGAATCCTATTTGTGTTATAACTGCAGGAAGCCTGGCCACTGGAAGTCAGCATGCCCGTACCCAAAGGTGGAGAAGTACGGAGAAAGAGAAAGGAACGAGAAGAAAAAGAAGGCAATGGTTGCTGCTGAAAGTGACGAGTCATCCAGCTCAAGCTCGGATGAAGAAGCCCTCGTTTGCATGGAGCGCAGAGCTGAGAAGTCCAACCATGAGGATAGGTGGACTATGTCAGAAGATGACAATCTCTGCCTAATGGCCAAAGATGATGCTGATCAAGAGGTAACTTCACAAACCTCGTGCTCATCTTCTTATGAAAGCATACCAACTTCTGAAAATCTTTTTGACCAGTTCAAAAAGATGATGGAAGATTTTGAGGAAATAAATCTCAAACATTCATCCTTAACAGAGGAGAACAAACAATTGAGTGAAGAGAATATCAAGTTGATAGAAGGTCGGAAAAGTCAACTGGATGAGATCACTCAACTCAAGACTGAAAATGAATCTCTCTCTGAGAAGGTGAAATCCCTTAACAAGGAGCTAGGGATACTTAAGTCCAAAGAAGCAGTGGATAAGCTTCTCGAAACAACCAAACATAAGGGTCGTGAAGGACTTGGGTTTGACCCCTCTAATTCCAAAAAGAAAGGGAGAACAACTTTCATCCCTCCTAAACCTACTGCTAAACCAAATAAGCAGAAAGGAAAGGAAAAGGAGAAACCAATAGAAGTTCCAAAAAAGGTAGTCCCTCCTAAGAACTATAGGAAGCTGGACAGACCTCAAAAAGGAAATAATTTCAGAAGAAAACCTTCTAACTCCCACTATACACGAGGCTATACTCATTATGGGGTAGATAGGAGTTTTCCAAGAAATTCTGAGTGGAGAACTATGCCAAGATATAGTCACCCTCCACCCCAGAAACTATTTGTGCCACCTAAGTATGCTTATAACCGACACAGGTCACACTATGCACAACCTAGACAAAACTATAGGTCTTACCAACCTAGGTTTGCTAGGAGGAAACAGGAAATTGCACCTCCTG